TCCCCTCTGCTACTTGCTTGAGCACCAGTCACTCGGCTGAGGGTCCTCTCTGGGCATGCTTGGTCTTGTGCACAGTGTGGATGACAAGGACTGGCACCCTCACTGGGTATCCCGCCTGCTGCTGCGCCAGCTCAATCCTCAACACTGGAGAGGTAGGTTACCATTATTAGGCCCATTTTAGAGATGGAGAAACTGAGGCACAGAAGGGCTAATTACCTTGGCCAGGGTCTCACGCCAGTAAGTAGCAGAGGCAGGGCTCAACCCCAGTCTGCCCAGAGCAGAGTGATGGTTCCAAGATGCCTTTCTCCGCACGTGCTCGGTTGGTTGTGAGGAAGTGTTTGTTCACACATGGTGTCGGGCCATGGAAGGTGCCGGAATCTGCTACTGTGGTGTGGCTGTCACTTCGGTCCTGGTGTTCGGCATGCTGTATCCCTGTCTTGGGTTTGATCTGGGGTCTGCAGCCCACTGTACCCGACGTCTTCACTTAGTAGTAAATACCTGTAGCTTCTGAGATGGACGGCCTGAGGGTTCTGTCGGTTGGAGTGGGCTGGATTGGTTCCCACAAAATACGAGGTCACTGCCCTTTCTGCAGTGGGCAGTGGTATGAGCGGTTGTGGCGCTAAACCTGTGTTAAATGTGCATTGAGAGAGGAGGGCACTGGGCCTGGGCCCTGTGTGGTGCCCGCTGGGTGTCAGCAGACCATGCAGTACCAGCTCGCACTGGGAGATGGCGCCGTTCCCCAACAGTTGGAATCTGTGGCTTCCCACTCGCCAGCTGCCACAGATCCCAGGTATTAATCAGGAAAACAAATCACAGGAACACCTTCAGCTGGCAGGTCTCATGCCCAGCACTCAGGCCAAGGCCATCCAGCCTGTAACTGAGCCCCCTCTGCAAATAGGGATGGAGCAGTGAGCTGGTGTCCATCTCAGGTGGGCCTAGGGAAGGCTGGCTCCTTCCTCCCAGTGTCCATCCGGGAAGGGAGATTAATTTTCACACAGGCAGTGTAGGGAGTGATGGGGATGGGGGAAGGGCCTTCCCAAATTGCTGGGAGCACTTAATGGGAGGCCTGGAGGAAAAGCCTTTCATCCCGGGTTAGTAGAAATAAGCCCCATGAAGGTGTTTGACCCAGTCAGCCCCAGGCCCCGAGGACACTCACTGTTGTCCTCCAGCTGAAGCCGCCCAGGGCTGGGGCCTGGTGCCAGCCTCTCCTGCCCCCTGCCTGGGCACCCCGACTGTGGCTCCACCCCTGCCCCCAACCACAGACCCAGGGCCCCACCACCACACCGCTCATGGGCGGGACCCCTTTAGCGCCCCTGCCTGGATGCCTGAGCCCCAGACCTGGTTACACCCAGCTCCTGCTCCGTGTCTGCACACCCCTCACGCCCGCACCCAGGAGCCCACACTGGTGGGTGCCCGCAACCACCAGAAGAATTCCTTTCTCCCAAAGGCCTTCCAGTACCTGGCTCCCCGGGGCTCCCAGGAGGGCCTTTCCCTTTACACCCTGTTCCCCTTCCCCAGCTCTGGGGCGGGAGACCCCGCTGAGGGCTGCTTTGGACCCGACCGAGCGCTCGCTCTCCCGGCTGCTGGGAGCCTGGAGCCACCCGTGAACTCCGTCCCCAGCGGCCGGGGTGGGGCGGGCCCTGGGCGAGGGTGGCCTCTGAAGGGCCCGCGGGCCTCGCTCAGCCCT